TGGATTTTCCAGGGGTTTGTTGGGATCCCCCATGCACAGGGCAGGTCCCACTCCATGGAACACCGTGTCCTGGTGGTGTTGGCCGTGTCCAGTGGTGACAAAGGTCTCTCTTGTCCCCTGGGTTGCAGAGCACCAGTTCTACCACAAATGGGCCATCCTGTCCGACCCTGAGGACCTCACGGCAGGCCTCAAGGGCTACCTCAAGTGTGACATCGCCGTGGTAGGCAAAGGGGACAACATCAAGACCCCGCACAAGGCCAATGAGACGGAGGAGGATGACATCGAAGGGTAGGGATCTGCTGGGATCCGCTTCTTCCTGGCTCCCTCGGGAATCCTTTCCACCTCTCTGTCCCTTGGGTGGGATCACAGGATGCAAACCTGGTGGCAAACCCTGAGCCATGAAAGCAGAGGGACCAGTCCGGTGGTTTTCTGGGAGGGAATGCATGGTCCTGGTGTAATTCCAGGTGATCTCCAGCATGGGGTTGTCCTTCCTGTGGGGTCAGACCATCCGCTGGTGGTTGAACTCTCCAGCAGCACCCATTCTGATGTTCCCTGATGTTCCTGATGGGCCCTGGGTGGGAAGATGGGATGGGATAATGGGATGGGGGATAATGGGATGGAATCTCACACCCCAAGGCAGAGCAGGGAAGTCTGGATGGGGTTTCCCAGGCTGTGTGTGTGAACAGGGATCTTGGACTGCCCAGAACATCTCAAAGGTCACGGAACCAAAATCAGGAGCTTTAAGGCTTTATTCCAGCCCCAAAACTTTTCCAGATAAATTAATATCTCAATTTCTAATCTGCCTCTGTGGCTCTCCCCACATGGAATCATGGGATGGTTTAGATTGGGAAAGACCTCTGGGATTGAGTGCAGCCATTAACAGTCAGAAAGCACCAGCACAGCTCTCCTGACTTGCTGGGATTTGAGGAACCACCTCCAGTACTTTGGGCTTCATCTCATGCTGTAGTGGTGATGTTCTCCTACTTATTCCTAAAATCCTGGAGTTGTTTGTTTTGGAAGGGATATTCAAGATCACCTTCTTCCAACCGTCCTGCCATGGGCAGGGACACCTTCCACCAGTCAAGGAAAACTCCAGCAATTCCTAGAATTGCACTAGAAATATTTTATTCACAGCATTCCCATTTATTCCTGCAGAGGAGGAAAGCCACCTATCCCAAAAAAACCCCAAATGAATGGAGTTAATTTCATCCCCAAAATAATCCTCCAAGCTCCCCTTGGTAAGGAAAAAGCAATTCTTCCAAAACCCCATTAATTCAATTTCTGTGGGTTGGAGTGGAAGCGGAAGGAGTCAGTGCTCGGAAAATGGAGCAGCTTTTCTCTGGTCATTTATGGAACCACAAAGGTTGGATGGAGATCATCCCATCCAACCTTCAGTCTTCCCTTGTGGAAAGGGTGACACGTGCCCCTGGCAGGGGGCTGGGGAGTCCTGGCAGGAAGCCAAAGACACTTGGGATCTCAATCTTAACCCACGGAGCAAATTACCAACCTTGTATGAAGAATCACAAGTCACAGAAGTTTTAGTAGAGTAATAATGAATTAACCACAGGGTGAAAAGTGGAATTTTGTCAATTTTATTATAGGGGGTCTAGGAGGCGAGATGGAGGGACTTGGGTGTTGTCCTATTCTTCTTCTTTCTTCTTCCTAGCCTCCATCTTCTTGGTGATGGTGGCACATTTGGATTGGTCTAAAGTAGAAGTAGACAGTCTAACATCGGAGATAGGTATTGGAAAATAATGATAAATAAAGTATATGTAACTTGTAGTATAAAATGTAGACACCAGCCCGGGGGTGGGCAGTGTGCCCTTGAGAGACCTGCAGATCAGACCTCTGTGGGTCTGAGAGAAAATATTTTAGATAATCGACAATAAACAACCTTGTGAACCAGGGCTGAAGAATCCCAACTCTTTCTTCAGCCAGTGGGCTGGAAAAAAGGGACTCTTGGGTCACCCCGACAGCAGACAACCCAAGATTCCCTGACCACCCCACCCCAGCAGCTGTTCCCAACTCCATCCACTGACATTCCAGGAACCTGCTGCTCCCTGATGGGGTGCCCCCCGAGCGGCAGTGGGCTCGGTTCTACATCAAGATCTACCGCGCTGAGGGGCTGCCGCGCATGAACACCAGCATCATGGCCAACGTCAAGAAGGCCCTCATCGGCGAGAACAAGGACCTGGTGGACCCCTACGTGCAGGTGGCCTTCGCGGGGCAGAAGGTGAGCGGGGAGCTCCCAGGGGGACCACAGGAGGTGACGCCAGCAGGTAGCCATAGATGGTCTCGGTCATCCTTGCATGTCAGGATGGACGTGGTGTCACCTGGTATGATGGGTGTGATGTCACCTCCCAGGATGACCACAGGAGGTGACACCAGCAGGTGGCCATAGATGGTCTCGGTCATCCTTGCATGTCAGGATGGGCGTGGTGTCACCTGGCATGATGGGCGTGGTGTCACCTGGCATGATGGGTGTGGTGTCGCCTGGCACATCAAGATGGGAGTGGTGTCACCTGGCATGTCAAGATGGACGTGGTGTCACCTGGCACATCAAGACGGGTGTGGTGTCACCTGGCACGTCAAGATGGGTGTGGTGTCACCTGGTGCATTGAGATGGGCGTGGTGTCACTTGGCACTGTGAGATGGGCATGGTGTCACTTGGCCCATTAAAATGGGTGTGGTGTCACCTGGCACATCAAGATGGGCATGGTGTCACCTGGTGCATTGAGATGGGTGTGGTGTCACCTTGGTTTATATGGGTGTCGTGTCACCTGGCACGTCGAGATGGGCATGGTGTCACTTTGTTTTCTCTCTCCGGGTTGAGTTTGAGCCCTCTCCAGTTGAGGAGGAGAATTCTTTGCTCAGGAGAGGGTGGAGTGGGTGGAAGGGATCAGCTCGGGTGGTAAGGGATGGTTTGGGAGATCCAACCTGTTGGGAAGGATGAAAGTTTGACAAGAAACTTTCACAGATCTGCATGCTTGGCAGAAAGCTCTCAAAATGCAGAACCTGAGAACGAAATAGAGGTGGAACAAGTTTTGATATAGAAGAACAGATGTGTAAATTGACAGTTGCTGAGCCAGTCTTGCTGTACAACTATGAAAACAAAGGTTAAGTCGATTTGGAAAGAGATTTTGTGACTTAGAGCAAAGGATAAGCTGACCGCAAACAAAAAGATGTTTTTTTCCAAGCAGAAACATACCACAGGCAAACAAACATGTCGATGTGGCAAGTAGCAAAAAGGTCTAACAATTTTCCACTGCAAGAAAACTGAAACACAACTTTAAGCTTAAACTGTAACATTCTAACTCATGTGATTGGATAGTATTGACCATAATAATGATAGGTCATAGGTAATACTAAAGGTATTTATTGGTTGATTATGTATTAAGATGCTCAGCAAAGAACAATGCAATGTAACCAAAACTAAAGGGTTTTCAGGCTTGTCTGCAGCTGGAGCTGACAGCTGTAGCCATGGCTCCGTCACCCACTGTTGGAAATCCAGGCTCTTTCTCGCTCCAAGGTCAGGCTGCATAACACTCAGGAGATATTGTTTTAGAAGTCTCACTCTGAAGTTTATCATCCTTATCTATTACGAACTCACAAGATGTGAGCTCCCCCTTAAAAGCCAACTAAAATGGTGTCTGTTCAAGGCTATTTAAGTCCAAAACAGTTGACATAATAAAAAATAAACAGTTGACATCTATATTTTTTATGTTTCTAACCCAATTATGATCACCCAAAACCCCCAATGCGGACATCTTTCATCCAATTAGAGAAAACCACCCAGATCTGTGAAGAAGGAAGAAAAAGGTGCAAAAAAGACATCTAACCCACACCTAAAATTCTCCATCCTTGCTCCCATATATCACCATAGACTAAAACCCCAAATCAAGTTTTTTCACCCTGTGAGATCACAAACTTCTAACCAACTCCACACCCATAATCCCAGTGTTATTAATCAATTTTTGAAGCCTTCTCCACAGCCTCAGGTCAAATGCAGTGCTCTCCTGTGGGTCTGTGCCTTTCAGCACAGAAAATTTCAAATTTTCAGCATTGGGGGTTCCAAAATCCCACGACCCCAGACTGCTGTAACATCTTGGATAAAACAAACTGCATTTTGAAGAGGCGCCTGGAGTCCCACATCTCTCATCTCAAGCTCTTACTCAACCTTTGTCTGATATCCATCTCCTCTCGATTCCCAGGGAAAGACATCCATACAGAAGAGCAGCTACGAGCCCCTCTGGAACGAGCAAATCATCTTCACAGAGATGTTCCCCCCGCTGTGCAAGCGGATCAAGATCCAGATCCGGGACTCGGACAAGGTCAATGACGTGGCCATCGGGACCCATTTCATCGACCTGAGGAAGATCTCCAACGAAGGGGACAAAGGTAAAGTTGAAGTGGGGGCATAAACGCTACAGGGGCATTCCTTTGGCAGAGTTCAAAAAGTTTTCCAGGTTCCTTCCCACCCCTGGAATTCCTGGGTGCTCATCTGGAGAGACCTTGATGTCCGGAAATGAGAGAGGTTCCTGGGCCAATGCCCTGAAAACCAAGATTTGTCACAAACCCTCAGCCAATACCTGAAAGCAAAGACACCCCAGAACAATTTGCTCTTCCAAAAATTCAGTGGACGGATGAGCATTTGTGGGCAAAGATGGGAAACCAGACGTGGGACTGGAAAGGAACAAAAAGGGCATTCTCCTTCCTCGACCCTCAAAATGGGGAATTGCCAAAGACCTGCCCATTTCCCACCACTGCCCTCCCTGAAAATTTCTTAATAAAAAAAAATCTGGATGCTCAGGGGGGACCTTGTGGCTCTGCACAACTCCCTGACAGGAGGGGACAGCCAGGGGGGTCGGGCTCTGCTGCCAGGGAACAGGGACAGGACAAGGGGAAATGGCCTCAGGCTGGGCCAGGGCAGGCTCAGGTTGGATATCTGGAAAATTCCTCCCTGGAAATGGCTGTTGATCCCTGGCATGGGTGGAGTTTCCATCCCTGGAGGGATTTAAAAGCCGTTTGGATGTGGCACCTGGGGACATGGGTTAGTGGAGGCCTTGGCAGTGTTGGGATCCGATGGAAATGCTGCCGGAAAAATCTCCTGCAAATCCATTAGGCAGGAGACTAAGATAAAAGATTTAAATGTTTCTGCTCACCCTGGTTGTGCCAGGTTGGACACCAGGAGGAATTTCTCCATGGAAAGGATGGTCAGGCCTTGGAAGGGGCTGCCCAGGGAGGTTTGGAGTACCCATCCCTGGAGGTGTCCAAGGAATTCCTGGATGTGGCACTCAGTGTCCTGGGCTGGGGACAAGGTGGGGATCAGTCACAGGCTGGACTCGATGGTCTGGGAGCTCTTTCCCAACCCAGATTATTCCAGGATTCCTTGAAAACTCTCTCCATGGATGGCGCCAACCACACTTCCATGGACACACAAGAACACACAGTCTCAGCCCATGTCACCACACAGAGACCAGGAAAGTGGTGCCAACCATGACTGCCAAGACATTCCCTTTTTCCTCTCCACCCCCTTCCCACCTGTCCCTTCCACCCCCTCAGGTTTCCTGCCCACCTTCGGCCCCGCCTGGGTGAACATGTACGGCTCCACGCGGAATTACACCCTCATGGATGAGCACCAGGAGCTCAACGAGCACAACTCCCTGACAGGAGGGGACAGCCAGGGGGGTCGGGCTCTGCTGCCAGGGAACAGGGACAGGACAAGGGGAAATGGCCTCAGGCTGGGCCAGGGCAGGCTCAGGTTGGATATCTGGAAAATTCCTCCCTGGAAATGGCTGTTGATCCCTGGCATGGGTGGAGTTTCCATCCCTGGAGGGATTTAAAAGCCGTTTGGATGTGGCACCTGGGGACATGGGTTAGTGGAGGCCTTGGCAGTGTTGGGATCCGATGGAAATGCTGCCGGAAAAATCTCCTGCAAATCCATTAGGCAGGAGACTAAGATAAAAGATTTAAATGTTTCTGCTCACCCTGGTTGTGCCAGGTTGGACACCAGGAGGAATTTCCCCCTGGAAAGGAGGGTCAGGCCTTGGAAGGGGCTGCCCAGGGAGGTTTGGAGTGCCCATCCCTGGAGGTGTCCAAGGAATTCCTGGATGTGGCACTCAGTGTCCTGGGCTGGGGACAAGGTGGGGATCAGTCACAGGCTGGACTCGATGGTCTGGGAGCTCTTTCCCAACCCAGATTATTCCAGGATTCCTTGAAAACTCTCTCCATGGATGGCGCCAACTACACTTCCACGGACACACAAGAACACACAGTCCCAGCCCGTGTCACCACACAGAGACCAGGAAAGTGGT